ATTGTTAGAGGTCCCGCGTCGAGCATTTAGTTTTCCCATAGGAATTACACGTAAGAAAATGAGTTTGTTTGCTTTTGAGGTAAATATAATTTACTAGCATCAATCAAAACGCTCGAAACTGTAAGAGGGGAGATTCATGTAGGATCATTACTACACCAAATGCAAAAATTTGAGTCTTATTCCGGTCGCATTGCAGGATTGTTTCTTTTTTTTGACGTGGCCTAATGTACATACATATCTGTTTGAAAAAGTAAATCGCACCATTTGAAAGTATCACAAACACACAGATTTACAGTAGTGGGCATATAAATGTTACCAACACTAGTTATGTTTTCGTATTCTCCAGTAACTTGCCAGTAATAAAATTTCTGAGAGTAAACCAACGAATGACAGAAACATGCAAGAGAGTACGAAAACGCAAAACTAGGAAGAAATTTAAAGTTTCATGAACGAACAGCTGATGAATTTGTTATTTAACGATGGAGTTTCCTTATAAAAAGAATATTTCTTAGAAGAGCTTATTTTATCAATTTCAGCTATAGTGGCCTCACCAACAATTCCTGCTGTTTTTCTTACTGGGAAATAGTTACTAGTAAAAATTTATCCAGCAAAAATCTAATAAATACTTTCCTCTACTTTGCAAGTTTTGGCATACGTAAACGTCAGCAAGAAAAATTGTTAGTAAATATTGCTATAAAAAAGTACTAATGTTTAAATACCAAAAACCAAAGGCATCCCAATAGGTATACGATCATTTCTATAAAAAAAAATAATAACGGTCGCCCCTCGGCAGGCAATGGCAAACCTCCGAGTGTATTTCTGTCATGAAAAATAGCTTCTCACAAAAATACAATCGCCGTTCGGAGTCGGCGTAAAGCTGTAGGTCCCTCACTTTTCTGTGACAACTCCACAAATCGGAGGAGAAGCTCGGCCAAGCACTAACATATCTGTAAGCGCCATTCTATAATATATTTCTATAAAAAAATGTATTAGTACAAAATCTCAAAAAAAAAGATATTTGTGAAACAAATTGTACAATAATTTGACGAACACTTAACATTTAAATCAATATTTAGTATGTCCCTCATGATGGAATAAGACCTGCAACAGTTGATTTAAAATTTAAATCGGTCATAAAAATGCGTTATTCATCATAACGGTGAAAAANGATATTTGTGAAACATGGCATATGAGTAACAAATTTCTTTTCACAGACAAAAGTATTGAAAATTGTACAAAAATTTGAAGAACACTTAACATTTAAATCAATATTTAGTATGTCCCTTATGATGGAATAAGACCTGCAACAGTTTGATCTTTACGGGTATAATAAAATAGTTTAGCCGTTCAAATTGTATTTCTATTTTTCTGATAAAATTTAAACGTTATTTTATGATTTTATTCTTTTAATCAATTTTTGATCGTTATTTTTGATTTTTATTTTATCGATTATACTCGTATTATAACCGTAGCTTTCAGATTATGTTTTTTAAATTATAAAAAATTTAAATCGGTCATAAAAATGCGTTATTCATCATAACGGTGAAAAATGATCGAAACAAATACAAATCCAAAATAATGATTATGTAAATCTGAACGAAAAAATAAAAATCCTAATTAAACGATAACACAGCTTTACAAAAAAGAAAGTTTCTGCACATTGAACCAAACCTCTAAATCAATATGTTATTCAACGCCCTGAATGCGAATCCAAAGTCTGTTAGCCTCCACCTCGTTAAGTTCGAGGTCATTTGAGTAGGTCAAGTAGGGGAAAAATTCATTGAATAAACCTAAAAATTCAACTATATGGGATTTTCGACTCGCTAAACCCGCATTCGAGGTCCATTAACCTCCATAATGTAAGGTTCGAGGTCATTTGAGAATCAATTAGAAAAAAAAGTTATTCAATAAAAATAGAAATCATATACATAGGTTTTTGTTGTCGCTTAATCCGAATATGGGGGTCCCTTGATTCTTCAAGATCATCTAGAGGTCATGCCAATGTCACATCAAGGAATAATTGTATGGAATTTTCAGGTTTATTCAATGACCCTAATTGGCCTTCAAATAACCTCGAACCTGACGTGATGAAGGCTAACAGACATCGGATTCGCATTCAGGGCATCGAACAACATAGGGATATAGAGGTTTTGTTCCATATGCAGACATTTTTTTTAACCTGTGTAATTTTTGAGCGGAAAATTAAAAATTTTAAAATGTCGATTTTTTAATGGTCTTTAAATAAATGTCTGATATTTAAGGCTTATTTATGGTCCCCAGGTGGAATCCTTGCCTGCATCGAATTTGTTAGTATTGAATCGTTATTTTCGAGCCACTTTCAAGTTAT